TTGTGTTGGTTTTGTTTTATTCTTCTCATGACCTGCTCATCAGGGACTTCTTTTCCCATAATTCACATCCACAAGGCAAGTGGATTTTGGAGACTGACTGATTAAACCAACCAATGTATTATTTCCAGCTCTTCTAGATTCGTCCATTATTTGTACACTACATGAGATGATTTTTTGGTGGGTGTGGTAATAAAAGTGAAGGTTTAATGTTAGTCAGGTCTACGGATCATTTTGGAGGAAGATATAAGGTGGGATGGAAAAATACAGTCGATGTTTATCTTTTTCTAATTTACTGCAGTGAATATTGTTATTAATCGCCTCAAAACACCATCCACCCCACTCTTCAAACACACTTACCCCATTGTTCTGGCCACTTTGAGAAGCAGTTCTGGATGTCCTCTTTCATGAGTGTCTTTCATTGCACTGCCATGGCTGATTTGGTTCAAGATGTTTATCTTTGGCTCAAGATGGTCTGTTTGACTTCTGGAGAAGAACCAGAAATTGCATGGTTCCAAATCTGGTGAAGAAGGTGGATGAAGACACTCAGTAATGTTTTTGTGCGCCTGCCTTTCTGTTGGAGGCACTCAGCAGCAGCATTCATCTTACTTTTTATCACACCTTGTAAAGAAATGAGAGTGGCAAGAATGATGGGATAAGTGTGTCTGAAGTGCCAGAGGATTTTGAGGGGGGTTAATGGCAATGTGTCTTTTACTGGAACAAGTTTTTAAAATTGAAACGTTTACTGTACCTGTTGGACACACCTCGTAATCGGAGCTCACACTGCTAAGCCATGTAAGGGCAGCCTGGAAACAGCCTTGCTGATAGTGCTGCTATTCCCACTGCTCTTGGAGAAAATCAAATTTGGTGCATTGGACGAGCTCCCTCAACCTGTGACTTAGGTCAGAGGGTTTTGGTAAGAAGCCACAGAGAAATCTGCAAGTCTATAAAACCAGAGCTGATTCAGCACTCAGAACCAGGGCTTCTCGAATCAGACCACACATACAACAAGCCTCCTGAAATAACTGCCACCTCCATCTCAGTAACTGCGCAGGGTCTCTGCTTCCTCTTGGCATGTCCCACTGAAACTCGATACAGACGTAGTCAGGTGTTCCACGCTGACTCCCAGCATGCAACCCGGCTGCCTTGCCCAGCTGCCTATGCAGTATTTCTGGGGACACTGAGGCAGCCTCGTGTCACTAGGAGAGCACAGATTTTAGAAGTAGATGGGTCTAGACTTGAATGCTGGTTCTGCCACTTAATTTCCTCTGCTGTAAACTGTGGATATCACCCAGGTGAAGATCAAGTAGCATAAACTCCTGTGTACTTAGTACATAACATCTGGACTTAATGAATGATGGGATTTTGTATTTTAGTTCTTTTTTAATGAAAATAACTGGAAAGGTAGAAAAGTGAAAAATGCTCACTTTTATCGTCCTATCACTTAATCTTGTAGAGCTGGCAATGTGCTGCTTCCAGCTCTTACAGGGACTCATCCATTCTGTAAGGCTTTATATGCTATGCTGCTATTTATTTTAATGAATATATTTTATTTGGTGTGATGTTATACAATTTTGTATTCTGATTTTTTACATTATAAACTATTTTAACCTTAATTCTGTACATGATTTTAAGGAACATGCCATAATTTACATAAAATTCTTATTACTGGACACCTAACAGTAGAAACTAGTTGAATGACGGGAATGCACTTATATAGTAAAGCAGCACCATTTTAAAAGGTGTAGTGAAGGGTAGCTCTTAAAACAGAAATGTGTTCATGATTATATGTAAAATGAGACAGTTTTACCTAAAGACTGACTGCCTCCCACATCTGTCTTGACATTCACTCACTCAGCCTCAGTGGATTTCAAATTTCGAGGAACTTCAAGGCACCAAAGGGGTTTATTAAATGTTTTGGGCTTTACCCGTAGAGTTGATTTAGTAGATAAAGGCTGGGTCTCAGCAAGCCTCTTACGAGGATCCCAGGTGATTCTGGGGCAGGAATGACACACCTCCCACTTCTGCCTGCTGAAGCTTTCTTTCTTTTCCAAGCTTCCCCATTGCCTCCTGGACTCCTTATTGTCCACTTCCATGTCTTGTACATCTTAGTGAATCCTCCTAAACTATAAACGTTTTCTTGATCCTCCAAGCAAATTCAGTTGGACACTCACGTCATAACCCTAAGATTTGTGTTGAATCCTCAGTGAGTTACTAGATAAAGATACTGAAGTATCTGAAATCCAAATTTTATTTACTTTGTAGTGAAAAGAGGCAGAGCACTTCAGAACGCTTTAGCATACCTGTTATTTACTTGAATTCTGGGGAAGAAAGGTAGTCTTTACAACCTTGGTAATAAAAGAAAAATCTTGCTTAAATTACCCTTACTTTGGCAATCAGGTTGTTAAAAGTAACTACTTTGCCTTTGTGCACCTACTGTGGTCCAGGCCAGAGACGGCCAGTGTTAGCTGAAGAGGCTGATCATTCCTAAAGGATTCTCAGGCTAGTGGTTGGTTTTTCATTCTCAGACTTGGTGCCACCGAAGTCACTCATAGAATTGAATTGGGATTGTGTTACCCTACAGTGTACTTCTTTACTTAGGTTTGATTGGTTTGATTTCCTTCCTTAAACTAAATAATATTGCATACCCATGTCAAGTAAGGTTTGTGTTGTCTGTTGCTGACCTTCATGTATGGAGCCAGCTATTGCAGACTCAACAGTTATAAACAATAATTGATAAATACTGTGCTGAGATAATATTCGGTTTTTCACTTGCCTCTGAGGGAAGACCATACCCTATATAAATTTGTCATTATTCTAACTTCAAAAGCATTCATGGTTACAGAAAAGAACTCCCCAGCTGTAAACTAAAAGAGCCAAGTTTAACACCTCACTCATAAAATTGCTGCCTTGTTTCTCATGAAGATGTTAACTTTGTTGGATTGAAGTTCAAGATGACCAGAGAATCGATACTGTTAGGGGAACAGACGGTCCTAGTGAATCAGATGCTGCTGGTGAGGAAGGACCAAAGACAGTGGTGCTTGTCTAGCTGGCAAACCCAAATCATTCTTTAGAACTCTGTGCGAAGAGCCATCTGTAAAGCATTTCATAATCGCTTCTTGGAAAAAAATTAACCATTTCACCTTTCACCTTTGTACACCTACAACAGTAGCTTATCCACATTTTTATGATTAGGCATGTCACAGTGGTGTGATTATGTTTGTATGATGCTGTTTTGCACTAGATCAGAAATTCAGGGGCTAGGGATATAGCTCACTGCTCCGGCAAGGACTTAGCATGCTGAGTTCACTCCCCAGCAGCCCCCAAAATACTTACTGGATATAGAGCACTTGACCCAGTTTAATCCAGGTTGGATGACTGGATATAGTGGTTTTCATAAGTGAATGATCAAATGACAACTACTGAACATCGGTCAGGTAAGATGCATTTTCAAGAACCCCTGCAGTTACTGAATTTAAAGCATCACCTGTCACGACTAATTTCCCTAAAACATTTTTCTAATTATGAGTAGAGAGTGAAAAAGACAACTCCAGTATCTCTTCTTCCCCAGTTCCTCATGGCAATTGGGGGATTTCCCAGCCTATGGATTCTCTGATTTAAAGAATTGGATCTGATGGTGAGGCCTAAGGATCATTAGTTTGAAACTAGCTTGGCAACTTTTCCTTCTCTCAAAATAAAATTTAAAAAGCAAAAAGAAATCAGATCTGACATTCTGCAAAACCCACTAACATTAGCCCACTGGTTGCCATTAAACTCCCTTTGGGGGCTCTTGATTCTACATAATGCCGAGTTATTGTGGATATTTGAACTTTCTATATCCATGATAGATATCAAACATACCATGATACCTAGTTTTAAACTCTATTTTAAAATGTCAGGCAATTTATTTTGGGGGCGGGGGGTGGGTACCAGGAATTGAACTCAGCATCAGACAATTTTAGAATCCAAAGGAACTTTTTTCATGTTTACTCAAGCCCCTTGAGAGACCGTTAGTTTTTGTTAGCAGGAATACTGGAATCAAATTCATATAGACCAGGGTTTAGTTCTTGGCTCTGAGGCTCGGATCATAGCCTGGTATTGGCAGTGTGACTGTAAGCGGTTTACTTAACGTTTTTGAAGATTGGTTTTCTCATTTGTCAAGTCTGATTAGTAATCCACCTCCGTGGGTCACAACAAGGGATTACCTGGGATCATATGGCCCAGAGCACCACTGCAAGGTCTGCACAGACCAAATCGTTAGTCATCTTATTTCTGCCCTTCCCTGCCCAAATCACGGTCTACAGCAGAGCTGGGATTTAGATGTTTTCCTTGGCATTATCAGGATGGGTTGTAGTTTCTAGTTGAAAGAACTCACATACATCAAGTACGCACTGATTTTAGTAGACAGAGAACTGGGTTGTCAAAGAAAGTGCTCTGGCTTTTGTGCACCTACTCTGGTCTAGGCCAGAGGTGGCCAGTGTTAGTTGAAGAGGCTAAGTCACATCAGCATTTGAATACAAGGTTCAGATTTCTTACTTAAATACAACCTCCTTCCTCAATAAATGTTTTATTGCTATTGCTTTTTTTCTTTCTTTTACTTTTTTGCACTGTAAGCTATGGCTCCCTTCCAGTCACTGGTCAACCATAACTTTGTATACTTGTGTACCTTAGCAGTATTGTTTCTGTGAGGGTCTGGAATCTCATAGCAAAATACATAAACCTTTTGGAAAAATAAGAGGTATGTAACCTAGTAAGTGCTCAAGTTTGAAAAATCGCATTCTAACACATTATTTGTGTTAAATATAAAGAGTTTCCTTAAATTCTGGCTGTGAACAAAGACCATGTGAAGCACGGAAATGTTAGTCATGTGAACTTAAGTCACCATGAAATGTTACAGTAGTCCGGTGGGAGAAGCAACACCGCTAGTCTCCTATTCTCACTCCTGCAGAGTTCATCTGTCATTTTATGAGACAACTTATTTTTTCCTTTTCTTCCCCATAAAGGTAGAAACCTGTGGGTCCTTGTTGTTGGTCAGTTTCCCAAGGAGCACAGAGTTGGGATTCCAGAATTCAAATACGTGGCAAATATGCATGGAGACGAGGTAGGTACCTGGTGTGAACTTCTGAGCTGTCACCAGGGAAACTTCCCTCAGGTCTCTTGGGCTCTGTGTAAATGCTAAAGAGGAAGCACGGAGAAGACTCATCACTGCAGCAAAGAAGCAGGGCCCTGAGCGGACTTCCCACTGGGACCTTCTGTGCGCGTTTAGGAGCCAGAGACGAAGACATTTGGTTGGGCCTGGGAGAGTGGCCTGAGCTGTTTTTGTGCTTGGGGATGGAAGAATAATTCCCCAACCCCTCAGCTCAGAACTCCTGCCAGCCAATCCCTTCCAGCCCTCCGCTGATTCTCCTACCTCCTTCTCCGCGTTAAGGAGATCCAGCCCAGGAGCTCCATTGTGTTTGAACTCATCACAATCAGAAAGTCCCAGATACCTCTCCAGATGCCTCACATCTGGCTATTTAAATTATTACATCACTCTTTTTCATCGAAAAGTCAGTATTTTTGATGTTCACATTTAGGCAGTCACATTTAGGGTCCTCTGACACCTACCATTCAAGAAATACTCAAAATTCCTTAACAGTGTCTTATCACTTTTCCCACTTAGAAGAGATCAACTCAAGTTTTGGTTTGTTTTGCAAAATACCCTTTAACTTCTCATACCATCCAGCTGTTCTGCCCACATAGCTGAAGGTGTCCACTGTTCGTTCTTGCCTCAGTTCCTTAGAATATTTTAAGAGCACGACAATTGCAGTACCTGTGTTTACTAGGACTCCATACAGTTCGACGACCAAGGGGGAGGAAAGATGGCTCGCAGCCATTATAATAAAGGAAATTTACATGGGAATATGTGGAGCAGCCTCTATAAAACACATTTAACTTCAAGGAATTTCAGAGTAAATTATATCCCAATCCGACAACCTGCTGACTTCTCAAAACACTCCGGAGTTGCCATCGTGTAGGTGATGCGCTCTAATCAGTGCTAAGCTTCCTGACCTGGCTTAACCCTCCCCAAACCCAAGCTCTATAGGAATCCAAGCTCTTCTGGACACACACAGCCTGCCCTGGCTATGCACACTGCCCCACTTGTCCTAAGAGCTAGGAGGGACACACCTGCCTCCAAGAAAGGAGTAAGTTTTTGTACCTGATTTGGGGTGGGTGAAGTCCCAGCTGTGATTTTTGAGTGCAACAGACTGTTTTCTTTAAAAGGCCATCCTGCTGGGAGTCTGGCCAAAGTTGGTTTTAGTAAAAACAACTGTCCATTATACACAGCAGCCAGGACTGCCTTTACTTTTTGCTATCTAGTCTATCAGACCATGGCCCCTTGGATTCTATTTTTAATAAGAGACAGATGGCACTTCCTGCCTTCAGTAGTTTATTTATTTAATTCGTGACATATCAGAGGTTGTAGTCTGCTACTCAGAAATTAATCCTCAGAAGTGAATTTACTAAATATAAACAAGAGACTTTGCTCTCACCCCCAAATCTGCTTATTCTTTCCATGTGCTTTCCCAGATCTCTGGAATCTTTCTCTCTGGGTAGGTCCTGTTCCCTGTCAAGTCAGGATTCTCTGGAACTCTCTGATTCTGGGAATGTCGAGGACTGAAATTAGGTAGAAAAGTCTCAGTGTGTTTTGGGGTGGGGATCTGAAGCACAAGTACCCTTTTGTGTTCCAGCTGATGGCAGTGCCTGGCCTCTATGAGGCTGTTAAGAAATTTATCATTCTGAATTTGAGATTTTGTGTATCTACTGTCATTAGGAGCTAGAGGAAGGGATGCCCTAAATGAGAACAGAGGAGTCACTCTGAGCACACCTTGTTTCCCTTGGATCTTTTGGAATTGAAAGCATTTTTAATGTTTTGCAAAGCTTTTTAATGCTTTCAGTCCTACTAAAAAGCAGCATAGCTAACATTTTAGGGCAGTGGTTCTTAACTTTGTTGGAACATTTTCTTGCTAAACGGGTACAAACTAGACCTCTGACTTGAAGGTCTATGGATTTTCTAGGAGCTTATAGATTTCATGTGGAGAATCCCAACAGGAGGTACATACACACTGAGTAGCATGGTGGGCAGAACTGACCACACCATTATAAAAACATTTCCTGTCTACCCTGGACCTCATCTCAGTGGGAGTGGGGGTAGAGGTGGGGGTGGGGGGTGGGCAGGGGAGTTTCTGCTCTTGAGACCGTGGATCCATGACAGTGAGCAGCAGCAGGATCAAAAGGATCCAATTCTACTCGAGGGCTGTAGAATCGCCTTGCAGAGCTCACAGACAAGGCACCCACAAGGAGTCTTTGATGCCTAGGGTTCACCTTCCCTTGTAATAAGACTCTCAAGTGTTTTTCTAGTTCATCCAGGCCCTGGTTTTACACATTAGAATGGCAACTTGTAGAAACCCCACTTCTGGGTTTAATGTATGCAGGCTCCTAACTGACACACCTAAGTCCGGTCACTTTTGGAAGGGCTGGTGACAGCACCCACGGCATGGGGCTGTGCCTTTCTCTTACTCGATACTCAGATTGTTTAGGGGTGGGAGTTTTGTGCCCTTCCCCACAACCTCATTCTGCTACTGGCTTGCTTCATAGAAAAAAGCTATAGGCAACAGTCTAAAATCAAGCTTCCTGAAAAGTGGCCTGGACAGTCTCCACCCTTGTTCCTTCTCAGGTTCTCCTTGCTCTGTTTATAATCTGTCTTCTACCCCACGATTTCCAAATTTTGCACACAAAAAAGTATCGTACTTGAGCAGTCCCTCCTTTGGTAAGAGCTGTGTAATTCTTCTCTACTACAGATACTGAAAGGAAGGCCGGTGGCACACGCCACTGGGGTGGCTGAGGCTGGAGGATCGTTGCAAATTTGAGACCAGCCTGAGCTACAAAGTGAACGTAAGGCCAGTCCAAACTGCATATTGAGACCTTGTCTTAAAAAGACAAAAAAAAAAAAAAAATCCAAGAGGTGTAAGGAGGCATGTCTATGTGCTTTAACAATTAGATGCCCATAGTGTTAAGCTAACCAAGAAACAAGCGTAGCACAGGTCAGGGCCTGGGCTGCAGCTCAGTTCCCCTGACCTCAGAGTCCATGTCCCCATAGCTGTGGGAGCAGTATTCAATATGTATTTGTTAAGTTTACCTGAACTGCAATAATGGTATTTATTTACTTTTGTCTATGGGCTTTTTTTGTTTGTTTTGTTGTTTTTTTTTAACAAATATGCTTCTGTTTCTTAATTATCAAATGAATCACTTTCATCATGAATGTTTATTTGGGCATAGACTTTTGAAAAATCCACATCACATTTAGAATTCCCCATCTGGTGGCATTTGTTTAGAGCTTATTGTATTTCAGATATATAAACTGAAAGGAAAAACATTCTCTGGATAATTGTGAGCATATTTTTCAACTAAAAATAAAAGATAAACGACAAATGATTTTTGTATGTCTTCCAGGTATGAGAGGGTTTATGAGATGCAGTTTGTATGGTTAAACATTTTTGTGTTTAAGGGGTATTTTAATGGCTTATGTAGCCAAAAGGACATAATATCTGAAACTGTGGGTAATCTGGGCTATGTATTGAACAGGTGATAGAGGTTCCAAATTTGTTAAAGCAAAGCAAAAAAGTAAAGCTTGTCCTTCCAAAGGTTACTCCTCAAGTTCTTTGTATCTTTCCCAAGAGAGAAAAATGGTTAGGACCTCTGCCTTTGAGGCTTAGGTGGTGGCGTGGGGAAGCGGTGGTCCGTGAGGCAGTTATCACGTATGTGAGTAGCCTTAGGTGGCCCAAATTAGACAGTGCAGGTGTGCAGTGTGATAAGGGCTCTAGTCCCAGGCGTGGAGGAACAGAGAATATATGCTGGATAGTGTCATCTTCAGGCTTCCCCTCCCCCTTTTACGGTGCTGAGGGTCAAATCTAGGGCCTCGTTGGTATCGGGCAAGTGTCCTACCACCGAGCCACGTCCCCTAAGGGCTGACATTTGAACAGGATTAGCTAGGCAGTCAGACAAATGAATTAAATCTGTAACACAACATTGCGGCCTCCCAGACCTGACAGGCTGATTCTCCCCCAGAAGCTGCATCACAGTGTAGCATTTTGAAAACAGATTCTATCATTAGTGTAGCTGAAGTTTTTGCACCCTCCCCGTTTCTCCCCACCACCTGTGTTGTAGAATGTTCCTGAAAAATTTCCCACTGTTTATAAAAGATCTTTGAAGGGCTAGACTCATTTTATGTATCTGGCAAATCCCCAGTGGGCTGAATGGAAGTAACCCTGATAGAGAATGTATTCTCTGCTGTCTGGGTTGCTGCCATGTTACTGACCGCTTGGTTCGCCCGTGAAAGGCCCCAAAGCTGCTGTGTGCACGCCCAGCCCTCAGCTGCTTGTTGCTAGTGACCCTTTCATGAAGTCTGCACCTCACACAGAGGGAGCGGGCAGGCTGAATACCAGCTGGCTGGGCTGCTGGGGGCTGTTTTGACCACATTCTTTCTTCAAATTTGAACTCTCCAAGGTTTCATATTCAAAGACTTAATTCTAAAGTCTTAAAATTAGGGAGGGAGGGAAGTTTATACATAAAACATGGACAGTGTTTGGGACATGTATATTAAAGTTGAGAAGAATTAATTTGAATAATATTTGGCATGAACCTACTGTTACAGAGGCAGCAAATATGGCCCAACAGAAAAATGAAGATTTTTTATCTCCTGAAATTTTATTTATCCTTTGATTTGCTGTAGAATATTGAGACAAAGGGAAAATATTTTGTTTACATACTTCCTTAAAAGAATCACAATTTTATTGTTTTTGTAAAAATGCCAAAGGTTGTAATTTTTTAAATGATACCAGAAAAATAATAGGAAATAAAACAGAATACTGTTATCCAGAATAGCTATTAATATTTATCAAACATCACTGTAGGCACATATGTTTCTGTAAGAGAATAACAGAAATTAAATGAATATAAATGAACATGTGTATAAGATGTATGAATTTAATCATTTAAATTTATTAAAAGAATGAAACTGAAGGGAAGCCAGGGGTGATGGCGCGTGCCTATAATCCCAGCACTCAGGAGGCTGAGGCAGGAGGATCATTGCGAGTTTGAGACCATCATGGGCTACAAAGTGAACTCAAAGCCAGCCTGAACTACATAGTGAGACCCTGTCTCAAAACCACACACACACACAAAAAAAATTGAAGGGCAACTAAAATATCTGGTGAACTTGGTAACTATTTTCTCAGAACAAATTATCAAGTTATTTCTAAAATTAAGAAAAAGATTATATATTTATTGACTGTGGTTTCAAAGTTTTTCATAAAGTCTGATATGACATTATGAAGAAAGGGAGGGCAGGCAGGCTAAGAAAGAAAAGAAAAGGCGGGAAAGGGAGGAAGAGAGAAAGGAAAAAAGAAAAGCAGTGAGAGAATAATTTCTTGTATTATAAAAGAAAATCTCTCACAGTTCTTCATTGTCAAGTCCTTGGTGGTACAGAAGATAATTTTAAGTGAAGATAACAGTTTAAATTTTAATGCTGGGCACGGTGGAACATGCCTGTAATCCCAGTACTCGAGAGGCTGAGGCAGGAGGATTGCCATAAATTCGAGGCCAGGCTGGACTTCATAGTGAGTTCAAGGCCAGCCTATACTACAGAGTAAGACCCTGTCTCGAAACAAACAAACAAAAAAATACAGTTTACGTTCTAATAATCAGTCTTTTACCTAGTATGTTAGAAATATGTCTCTAGCAAAGTGGCAATGATATAAAATTTTATTTTTAATGTAAGCAAAAAGTGAGCAATCTAATGAAAATATAAAGTAAATACTAGTATATGGATAATACGTACATATACCAAGAAATTGTGAAGATGATATCCAAATTCCTCATGTTTCAGAAACATGAGAATGTGGAAATCAGAAATAATATATAGGGCAAAAATTGCCCAGATGCACAAGAGAACTTGTAAGTAGAATATTGAATTCAGAAACCTATTTAGACTATGCTTATTAAAGTCTACAATTTTTTAACGTGGCGACGGTTTTCATATGTGCTGCTCGCATTCTCACGGACCTTACAATTCCCTGCTTTCTTCGTAATTCCTCCTTTCCTCCACAAAGAATTCTGGAAGGCAGGCAAATGGAAAACATTGTCATGAAAAGGTCCTTTGCTCTAACTCATTTTTAAAAGAGTGAATTATTCTGAGTTCTGCGCTCAGCACCAAGGAAAACCAGTACGTTACTTACAAAGGAGTGTTTTGACTTCCCCGAGCGAACACGCCGCAGCTCGCCCTGTGAGCGACCGCGGCGGCCTCACGAGCTCCGACGTCTGCAGCACGCGCAGAGGCCCGCGGGGGTGCCCCCTGTGGCCTCTGACTTCAAAGCGCCCTCTTCTCTTTCGCACCCAGACTGTCGGGCGGGAGCTGCTGCTCCACCTAATCGACTACCTCGTGAGCAGATACGGCAAGGACGTCGAGGTCACCCAGCTGGTCAACAGCACCCGGATACACATCATGCCGTCCATGAACCCCGACGGGTTCGAGGCTGTGCGCAAGCCCGACTGTTACTACAGCAACGGGAGGTAAGGGCGGGGCGGAGCCGCCGCCGCGCCTGCGCGCAAGGGGCCAACCTCGGGCCGGGGTCACTGCCCGCCCCGCCGCGTCCGCACGAGGGCGCGGGTCGGAGCGCCCGGCGCGGCGGCCGGGAGGGGCCGGGCCCGAGTCCGCCCTGACGGCGCGCTCTCTTAAGGGAGAACCACAACCAGTACGACCTGAACAGGAACTTCCCCGACGCCTTCGAGTACAACAACGCCACCAGACAGCCCGAGACGCGGGCGGTCATGGCCTGGCTGCGCGCCGAGCCCTTCGTGCTCTCCGCCAACCTGCACGGCGGCGCCCTGGTGGCCAGCTACCCGTTCGACAACGGCGCCCCAGGTGAGCGCGGCGGCGGAGGGGGCGCCG